ATTTTAATTTAGAACTCCGGGTTTGTGACGTATTTGTAATTGATTTGTGTTAGCGGCGAATAAATTAAATGTTATATGATTATTTTCTAAGGTTGAGAATATGTGAAATATTCGTGAGTCGGTTGTTCCGCGATAATCTGGTTTATCGTACGAGTACCACGCCTCTCGTTCGACGCGTTTTCGTTTTCCGAATTATTAATGTCTCTACTCTCATCGTTTCTCTTTTTATAACATGAGTCGATATTATGACCGTTTCGATTACAGTATGAACAAGTTACAACCTGTATATTATAATTCGTTGGTGGATGCGTAAAATTATTCCTATCAGGTGGTCGGTTGTTATTGCCGAAGCTCGCATAACTAGGTCTCGAATTATTCCTACATTGAGATGCATAATGATTACCATTACAATTATAGCACTTTATTGCTGGCCTATTGATTGGTTGAGAAAAATTGTTTGCTCGCGGATAATTATTTGTCCTTACAGGGTTATTTGGTCTAATGTTTTCTTTGTTTCTATTTTCGTAATTCGTTCTGCGCTGGTAATAATTCGGTGAATAGTTATTCGAATAACTGTTCCTGTGCATCTGATTTTCCCTTTTTAAATCTAGTTCTACCTGTTCTGACTTTGATAGTTGTTTCGCGATCTCCAAAGTCTTGGGATTAAGAGATTTTATTATTGTTCTAATCGGTTCTACTAATCCTTTAATAAATATCGCTAGAGTTTGTTCCCTTAATGTTTCATGTATAACCTTTGCTTCTGCAGGTTATTTGGCTAATGTACTTAAGGTACATAACTGATAATATAGTTTCTCTACTCTATGACAATAATCATTTACATCCTTATTGTGATACATTCTAATGGAATTTAATTGAATCTGTAAAGATGATGCCGTGGTTGTTACATCAAATGCATCTGTTAAATACATTTTTATAAACTGCCATTTCGATACATTTTTGTACTTAATCATTTCTAATGCTCTACCCATTAAACGTGTGGTAGTATATTTTACTAGTGTTGGTGCACTGTCTGTGTCGACTATATACTTCATTGACTGTTCTGAGTTATTATCTGAAATAGCTTTCCATATACCAAGTAGAAACACAAGGCCTTTAGATCTATTCATAGTTCCTAATTATAATAGCAAAATTTTATAAAATACTTTTTTTTTAAGGCCTTTTGTTTTGGCTAAAAGATTTCTACCTAATTAGAAGGTAAAGAGTATTAAGGAAGAGATATTCATTAGATCAAGATTTAATATATGATAACATTATTGAATTAGAGTACTGAAATATTTAAATCAACTACATTTAAACTTACTTTGCTACTTTTTTCAGTCTCCATAATACAAATTATAATATTATGTACCTACAACCAAAACTACAAAAAATAACTTATTTTTAAATTTTCAACTACTTGAACTACTTGAACATTCACCCATTTGTCAACACTCAACAATCAAGTATCAACATAAATTAATTATCTCCAGTTCTATATTTAGCTTTTGAGATAAACTATTGATATTATATTTTATATTATTTTAATATCATCCGTTATCAGTGATTAAACAGCAGCAGCAGGCTGTGGTCATAATTGATATCAGTGTTATATAGGCGGGGGGAAGACGGATGGTTAAATGCGCCGTGACATGTTTTAAAATTTCGCCACCCGTACAGGAAACAAATCGTACACACGATAATTACCAGTCGGGTAGGTCATATGAGTTCAATGACGGCGGCGCTCAACACAGCGTCAACCACATTGCCAACGCGAATAACCGACCGTACTTCGCGCGCGAAACTAATGACTATACGGGTCACACCACACGCGCGTCACAATACGCGCCGTACGAAGCACGCGCGCATGAACGCTCGGTACTAATACCGTACGAGGACTTGCGCACAGCAAGAGCTTCGTTACCCGAGTTCACTGGAACAAGGGCCGAGGACCCCGTACGGTACATTAATAATACCTAGTCGATTTTGGTGCAAGCTCGTATACACCCCTCGGGCTGGTGCAGGGCGGTCGAGCCGCATTTAAAAGGAACGGCGAGTGTATGGTACGCATCCATAAAAATACTCGACTTATCCTGGGAAGAATTTAGGGTTGAGTTTTTAGAAAATTACAACAATTCCGAAATCCAATCCCAACTGCGCACCGACATCGTGTCAACACGACAAACGTCTAGACAATCGCTAACGGAATTTGTGCTAGTTAAAAACCAGCAAGCGCGCCGCGTAAATACCGACCTATCCGAGTCGGAATTGGTAGGTATTATAGCAGGATTAACGCGCGACACTTTCCGAACACACATCCGTCTACAACGGCCATTGACGTTCAACGAGCTACGACGCATCGCAGGCGTTGGACCTGGTAACGGACCTGTAACGCCGACAACCAAGATTGACCCCGAGTCGGATCGCATCTTCACCATGTTCGATAACCACGGCAGTGACGACACACCACTCACCGCGTCAACGCTCGAAAAGTGGCAGTCCGAAGACGCCACGATTCGCGACATAGTCGACGGTCATAAGTGGGATGGACCAACGCGGAACACTAGGAGCACAAAATCGGGAACAAACACATATGTTTTTTCCGACGGTCTCTTACGCGTAAACGTAGGCTCCCACACACCCATCGTGATACCGAAAACAAAATTACAACACGTAATTTGGAGGTGTCACGATCACGTCCTATCCAACCACCCGGTTTGGAAAGAGACATACCGGGCGGTTCGACAACGGTACTATTGGAAAGGGCAAAAAAATGACGTTAAGTTATATGTCGGTGCGTGCCACGTATGTGCGTGCACGAAACCAATAAACACACGTCCCACCGACCCAATGCAACCAAGAACCCCCCGGCAACCACGGGAAGTCATCAGTGTCGATTTAATGGGCCCATACCCACGTTCTGGTAAGGGAAAATCGTACATACTGGTAGCAACCGACTGCTTTAGTAGGTGGACCGAGGCTTACCCCTTAGGAACAGCGACCTCTAAAACAATAATCGAAACGTTAGAGCTCGAGTTCTTTTCGCGTTTCGGTTACCCCCGCGTGTGTCTCAGTGAAAACGGCCCATAGTTTGTGTCAAACGAAATGATAAACGCATTAGAACGCTGGGGGGGGCACAGGGTTGGACGACTCCAGTCTACCACCCGTGGGCCAAATCTGTCGAACGCCGTAATAAAGATTTAAAAAAAGGTTTGCGCGCAAACATAAATCTTGGGACACAAAACTACCCTCAATTCTTTTTTCGATACGGAACAGGTGCAACGAACAGACATGCTACCCACCCGCGGTCCTTGTCCTAGGCAGGGAATGCAAGAAACCCGGAGATTGGGCGCTATCTAAAATTACACCGGTACATATCGAAAAATCACAGGAAGCTCTCTAGAGGGTAGAGCGGGAAAAACGTATTATAGGCAAAAAGGTAGTGGTAAAGCCGAGCACGAACACCGGCACACCGATGAAGTTCGACATGGGCGACGTAGTCTACTACGAAGCACACCACCTATCTAAGGCACATAAAGATTTTCATGCCGGGTTCTCACCAAAGTGGTGGGGACTGGTAAGGCTAGCGAAGCAGGTCGGTAAAGGAGTCTTTCTAACCGATCAACAACCGCCGCGGAAAATACATGTGTCTTGTCTAAAACGCGCGCCCACAGGTCAAAGTAAATAAACATTTGTCTGTACTAACCACCATTTACAGACAATATGGCCGATCAACAGCAACAGGAGAAGTGGCAGCAGGTGGCCACACTGATCCAGCAGCTGGGGCTGGTGTCCGGGAGTCAGGACGAGCCGCGTACCGCCGCCCAGGTCGCAAGGATGTCGACCCGCCAGCTCCTCCAGGATCCAGTGCGGGCGGCCATCTACCAGCGGGGCTGGGCGGACCGCACAGCGGACATCGAGCGGAGGCTGCGTCCGCGCGGAACGACCTCGACAACCAGCAGCATCACCTCATCGCTGACGAGGCCACCACCACCGACAACGACACCTGCCTCCACAACACCTGCCCCCGTGAAGCCTGCGGAGCCGACACCGGTACCCAGGCCAACGGGGGTACCCCCAGACCCGGCGGTAAGAGTGAGGACGGAGGCGCAGCAGGCGCGGAACTGCCGGAAGTTCTAACAGCTGAAGGAAAAGAGGAAGGCAAGGGAAAGCGAGGCAAGCCAACAGCGTCGGCTTGCCAAGCGACCTGCGCTAACCTCAGACCCCGAAGCAGCCAGCGCACCTCCTACCGGCCCAACACCGTCGGAACTGATGGAGGTAGACAAACCGGCGCCCGAGGACCGAAAGTAAGAGGAGCCGGGAACATCTACCAACCAAACGCCACCTACCCAATCAGGGACCCCGGACGGAATAACCGAGGCGGATTGGTTGGTGGCGTTTGAGGGGATGCCGGAGATGGATTACGACCCCGGAAGCCACAGGTAGTACAAGCCACCCGCGTAACGACACACCAGCACTGGTACAAGTGTACCCCGTGTGGCGGTTTGGCAGGGGAGTATGACACGGTACGCAGCGGCAACCAGTACAAAGTACAGGTACCGCAGCGACCGGTCTGCGCTTTTGACAACCACCACCACGGGCTACGAGCGCGACAACGCCAACTCTCCCACCGCGCCTAAAAGGCACAAGGCGGGACGGGAAGGCAAGTCGCGCAAAATGAGTACTGGCCGCCGGCGGTGTCTCTCTCGTCTTTCAACCACCGTCACGGTAAAATCGTCTCTACGAAACGCGACGCAAAGCATCCGTATTCGTACACCGAGAACGTATTTTTCCACCCGACCACGGGTCTTACTGCTTATTGTTGTTTACGTTTAATAAACACCACCCGGCACCTACACAATCCACCAATCGTGTTAACCATTCTTTTCTTCATAAGTGCTAAGTTGTGCGTTTGTGCCGAGTACCTCTTCACACAACCACCACTTCAACGACCGGCTTATTACGACCTTTCCACGTCACCACCGCAGCCGCATCATGCTTACATGAGACGTTTCATCATAAAGGCTCGTCACAAGTCACTCCAGCGAAAGCCCACTCATCAATGTGACGACCATCCACCCATGTTTACAGGATTCCTTCGATATGAAGAACTTCGTGATGCTTTACAGACGCTAGTCAAAATAACGCAACGCATCCACTTCTCACAGTTACTCAAGCTTATTTCATCTTCGTCATCGTCAATTAAACCTCGTTCGATAGCTTGTCTCACCCAGTTCATTGACGCGTCTGGAATCATACGCGTGGGTGGACGATTGTGCCGTTCATCCGCACCGGAAGATTTCAAATATCCAGTGTTAATGCCAAAGTCAAGCGCGTTAATGTTGCTATTGATCCGATATTATCATATAACTTGTATGCACGCTGGGCCTCAGCTTGTGGCATCCTTGTTGTCTTCTCAATTTTGGATTGTGTCAGGTCGATCAGTCATTCGTCACATTATTTTCAAATGTGTTACCTGTACACGACATCAAGCGTCAACCGTCAAAACGTTAATGTCCATCGAGATCCTTTTCTAATGTCGGTGTAGATTACGCAGGACCACTTTTGATCAAAGAAAGCAAACGTCGGAACGCCCGCTCTAAAAAATGTTAAGTGACGATCTTCATCTGCATGGCCGTGAAAGCGGTGCACATCGAAGTGGTCTCTGATCTTACAACTTCGGCATTCCTTGCGTCATTGCAGCGTTTTATTGCTCGCCGAGGAATACCTTTGGAAATATACTCAGACTGTGGTACCAATTTCCAAGGTGCCGCATCTGAATTGCGTCGGTTGTGGTCAGATCCTGAAGCACAAAACAGTGTCTCAAATGCTGTGCCGTGTAGGTGGCACTTCAACCCAACGGCTGCTCCCCACTTCGGGGGATTGTGGGAGGTAGCTGTTAAATCCATGAAAACCCACCTGAAACGAGTAATTGGCACCCAACTGTTAACATTTGAGGAGATGTGCACTATAACTCAACGAATAGAAGCCATACTAAACTCACGACCAATAACACCCCTTTCGTCAGATCCGAATGATTTACGAGTGTTAACACCAGGTCACTTCCTCACAGGTGCACCTCTTGTCACGCTGCCTGGCCCCGATGTGACGCAGATTCCGATGAACCGTCTCAACCGATGGCAGCTGTTGGATCAATTTCACCAATCGTTGTAGAAACGTTGGTCTTCAGAATACTTGCGATTATTGCAAGTCCGATCGAAATGGCACCACCCGCAACCGAATGTTACACTTGGTGACCTTGTGCTAGTGCAGGCACCAAATTTACCACCCACACTCTGGAAAATGGGACGGGTCGAAGCAGTTCATCCCAGCGAAGATGGAGTTGTGAGGGTAGTAACTCTCCGTACCAGTGATGTCTTCCAATCAATTAAAAAAAAAAAAATTTTTATTCCTACTCAGCGAAGGTCTTTCCTCTCCTGTAAACTGATATTCTGTGTATTTTTTGTATTTTGTATAATTATTTTGTTTACTTTATTATGTATTATGTTTTTATTCAAAAAAATCCATCTTCGTTTACGCCTTGATCACATTTTGGAAGATCCTTAGTCTTCCAAAGGGGGAGTATGTTGACGCCACAATCAACGTTTGCACCTGCACGCCGTGTCCGCCACCAAAGGCCCGATAAGCTTATCTGTCGGCCGACCGGTCACGGCGGCGGTGACGCCGCGTACGCTTGACCAGTACCGGTGAAGTAGCCGCGACGACCAGTGCGTGTCGTCCGTTGCCGCTTTGTGTGCTTTGTATTTTTACCAAACCTCGCTCGCACGTACGTAAGTAGAGTAAAAAAGACAGTTCTAGAACCAGAACCTGCTGGCAGATCCCTATGCTCTCGAGCAGAACCCTGACACACGGCAGCAGAGCCCGCCGCCGACGGCAGAACCCACCGCCGGTCGACTACCCCCACCAGCCGACGGCAGAGCCCACCACCGGTCGACTACCCCCACCACCCGCCGCCGCCGACGGCACTCTATGGCCGCCGTCCGGGGAAAATAAGTTAAAAAATTTTTTCGTCCGACCGGGTTTCGAACCCGAGCCTGTGGATTGGTGAGCGACCACCATGCCACTGCGCCACCCCGCCACATATACTTAATTGGTAATAACTAACCCTATTTAACTTGTATAAATGTACATATTATTTATAAGATGTTATCATGAAAATTATTTCTTATCACGAACGTGTTATCAAGCACCCGTTAACATTTGATAATGAAAATTATTTCTTATCACGAACGTGTATATATATGTTATCACGCACCCGTTATTATTGTGTTCAGTTTTTATTTCAAATATTTGTACACGTTATATACGAAATAATAATTCAGGTATGTATGTTAATAAAAATATTATTTATTATGTTTTTTTTAAAAGCAACTCATTTTTATTTAAAAATATTTTATTTGTACACGTCATATAGACTGCGTCGTGTTTATTTACTCTCCAAACATTAAATATTTCCCTCGCCCCTATTCCATTCCACGGATCGCACTCGAGACCACCCTCGCGCCACCCCAGTGACTTGAACATATAATATTCTACTGGTATTTTGGCGAACTGAAGGTTTTCATTTTCATTTCTGACAATAGTTCGAGAGATAGCCACCATAGCGCTAAAATCGCAGAACCAATAAACCAGACGAGTTGCTTATCTATTATTTTCTTTGTCTATGGGTATTTTTAACATTCAACACCATGACACCATATCCGAACTCGTTGTTATAACCCTCTATTAATAGTTCAAAGGGCTTTGCATCCGGACTATATACCGGATTTTGTGCCATAGGCTGTTGATGACGTCTAATAGTATCCGGCGACAAGCTCGGTGATAAACGTCTATTATAATCTCCCCAATCACTTTGTGATGAATTAGACATTTTTTTGAAATAACTTGTTTGTATGTTACAAGCTTATAACAAACTGATGAAAATTCCTTATTATATAAATCCGTACAAAAAAAATAATAAACGCGCTGTACCTTTTTTTGTCAAAAGACCTACTCTTATATATATATTATCCAGTGGGGCCAGAGTCAATCTGGTTATAATGACAGTATCTATTAACTGTTAAATTCCTTTTTTTTGTCCAAATACCTGCTCTTATTTATAATATATCCAGAACCTCTCACACTCGGTATATATAAAAGTCTGCCAATTTAATTGTATTTAAACTATCAAGACCTGATCCACCATATGCGTTCGGCACCGCCGAATATATCAACCTCATATAACATTTTAATGTATAGTATAATGTATAGTCAATAAGGTTATAATGACGGTGTCTCTTATTGTATAAATGATTAAATTTCCTTTTTTTTCTCAGAAAAGTATACCCCACCGAATATATCATTTCTATGTATAGTATTATCAACTAGGTTATAAGGGTATAACGGGATTTCATTATCCTATATATATACATTTTAGTTTTTAAAATATTACTTAGTGAGAAAAGGTTGAAATAAAATCTTTTGTTATACGCCACATACGGTGAGCATGATGGGTGAGCGGTAGTGGGGGAATGTCATCTTATTACGTACATGTTAGGGATGGTCAGTTAGTACATTCCGCACTGTTATCGTGTTATAACGTTCGCTTCACAATAATTTTAAAATGTTTAAATGCGATCAATGTGATTTGGAATTCGTGTACAAGACCAATCTGACTGCTCATCGGAAAACACATTTGAAAATGTTTAAATGTGATCAATGTACTTCGGAATTCATGGCGAAACGGAGTTTGGTCGCTCATCAAAAAACCCATGAAGGTATTCGTTTTCCTTGCACTGAATGTTGCATTACATTCAGTTACAAGACCAGCCTCAAAAAACATTTGAAAAATATTCACGGTAAGAATTTCTGTTTAGCACTTTAAATATTTATATTATATATATTTTTATAATAGGTATCGTACAAGCCCCGATTCAGCAAAGAAATATCCGAGTCAAACCACATGTACCCACCCCCGATAATGTTCGTGGTAAGTATTGTTGATTATCACTTTAAATATTTATTTATATTATATTATATTTTTACTAGGTACCGTACAGCAGGGAAATATCCGAGTCAAACCACATGTACCCACCCCCGATAATGTTCGTGGTAAGTATTGTTGATTATCACTTTAAATATTTATTTATATTATATTATATTTTTACTAGGTACCGTACAGCAGGGAAATATACAGATGGCACCACATATATCCGTTCCCGATATTCCGGCAGGACCGTCGCGACATACCACTCCAACAGTGCTACCAACCCGAAATGACCGCGCATCAACCGTGCGAGATTGCTCGGCAGAACCGCATACCCAAAATGATAACGTATTATCAGTACGTATAAATACCCACGTGCCAACAGTACGAGATAATATAACGGACACATTTTACAAAGACAAGGATGATGATGAAGTTTACGCTCAAGTCGCAGATATTATCGAGGATCTTGGATACTGTGAAAAGGAAGGTTAGTAATTTAATTTTTATAAACGCGGCATAGACTAATTAGGTTTTTTTTTAAAAGATTCATACATTACGCTTGATAATGGAAAACGCGTTTCCAGTGCCAACACTAGATCAGCAGTTAGGGCAAAAAAATTACGTTTGAATCTCGTAAAGTCCCCCGGATTTCAGTCAATATCTACATCAGCAAACAATACTATCACCTGGTATTACGTAAAAAACACCAATAATATTCAAAACTATATTTACTTCCTCGATTCGATCAAATCCGAACTAGTTAATTTACTAAAATCAATTGCAAGTAAAAATCCAATCAAGTTTAATTTAAAGCTTGAAGCGACATATAATATACCAAATGTTGAATATTCGTCGGAAAACCGTGCTTTTAAAACTTCGGCTAAGGCGGTTTTCTGTGATACTGGAGTACAGGAAATTGTTGAAGAGGCATTTACTAAATTAATGAAAGAGCAAGACGAGTATGCAAGCAAGGGTAGTGGTTTCACATTACAATGTATTGACGGTTTAATGTTAGGCGTATATAAATATACACCTTTGGGCGGATCATCATACATGCCACTACCAGACCAAATAGAAAATAAAAAAGCTGTGATCAACCCTCAAAACTTAGATATGCAATGCTTCAAGTGGGCAATTCTAGCAAAACATGTTACAGGAGAAAATAAATACCGTGTTGGTGATAATTATACATCGCTCGAGGATAAATATAATTTTTCTGGTTTAACATTCCCAACACCACTACATAAAGTTAAAATTTTTGAAAAAAATAATCCAAACGTGTCTGTCAATGTTTACGGTATCGACAAGAAATTTCAACCACCAAAATTCACAGAATATAAAGTTTTTCCTCTTAAAGTAGTAGATGAAGAAAAACCAGACCATTTTGATCTACTTATAACATCAGACGAGGATAACAGTCATTATAGCTACATATCTAATTTTTCACGGCTCATCAGGTCACAAAAAACCAAACATGATGGACAATCAATATTTTGCAAACGGTGCTTCACATCATTCGATAAACAACAGTACAAATATAAATTAAATGGTGAGGCAGGGCTAGAGCAACATAAACTAATATGTGGAGAACATAAACCTATACTAGCTCAGATGCCTGAACCTGGTACAATGCTCGAGTTTACTGCATGGAATAAAACGCAACGTCATCCTATAGTAATTTATGCAGATTTCGAAGCAATTCTCAAGAAAACTGATGAGAAAATTGGAGAAAAAACAGTAGCTTTTCAACAGCACGAGCCCATGAGCTATGGACTTGTGGTTAAAGCAAATGAAGACATACCAGTAGAACTGCTTGAAAAATTTGAAATTCCAACATCACCTGTAATTTACCGTGGAAATGAAAATAATAAGGACGTAGCTGGACATTTTGTGGATAAAATTGTGGAAATAGCCAAAAAAATTGAAGAGTTACTCAAAACAAACATTCCTATAATTTTCACAGACGAACAACGGAGAACACATGCATTATGTAATAATTGTAATTTATGTAAGGTCAAGTTTTCCCTAGAAAATCATAAAGTGGCAGATCACTGCCATTTATCAGGGAAATTTAGACAGTCACTATGTAATACGTGTAATCTTAAACTCCAAACACCTAGCTTTGTACCGGTATTTTTTCATAATTTAACGAATTATGATTCACATTTTATTGTCACTCGTCTTG